AGTGGGAGAGAAACAGACCTATGTGTAACATCTCGAGTTTTAATTCCCTAATTAATTAAACCTAATTAGGGTAATTAAGTAAGTTAAAGAGGTGTGTGTCCAGAGAGGTCCAATAATCATATTTAATGGTATTTTAGCCCTAGTTGTGGGTTTGGTATCAAGACGAGCCACCTAGGCATCAAAAGGAGAAGAAAAGGGAGAGTTGAAGTTACTATGCCACACGCCGCGACATGGAGAACGTTTGCCATGGTGCACAGACATTTCTGAGTGAGTGAAGACCTCTCTATGCTATACGTAGCAGCGCATTGTGTGTCTACCGCAGCGCATGGTCATTTTTTACAGTTTATCGAACACAAAGTGAGACAGAAATAGAGAGAAAGAAAAGAGGAAAACTAAGAAGCACACCAATACTCTGCTAGGGCACGACTTAGATGAGAATTTGAGGAGGTTTGAAGCTCTAAATCATCTAAGGTAAGATTTCTAAGCTCTTTTCCTCCTTTCCTCTTCTATTTTCTCAAGGATTTAAGTTAGGGTTTAGATGAGGATGGTGATTTCGGTCCATATGAGGTATGGGTCTGAATTTGTTGACTCAAATGGAATTAATGAGAGTAGATTAGAGTATCTAAATTTAATTGTAATGAGTTTTGGTGTCATGGGTTGTTAGACACCATTAATATTTGAAAATCTCATTTATTATAGGTGGTTGGAAGTTTGTGCTATCATTAATGGGGATTTAATGGTGCATTAATGCTATTGGGAGCTAAAAGTAATTATTAAGCCTAATGGATAGGCTCCAACTCTTGTAGAGAGAACGTTGGGCAATTTAGAAGTAGAGATTGAGGGTTTACATGCTTGAATTGGTAATGTTGATGAAATTCAACTTGGTTGATTGTAGTTTTGGCTCTTGGTCACCTATTGGATTGAAAATTCAAGATTGAAAGCTATTTGATTGAGTGGTAAACTTTTGACCTCTCCAAAGTTTGAGATAACTGAGAGAAGCTTTACTTTGGGTAGTTATATGTTAATTGATTGTTAATTGATTGCTAAATGTGAATTGTAAATGTTACATGCATGGGATTAATTTTTAAAGTACAAACTATATATTAGTTTCAATGAGTGCATGAAAAAGCTATTTTTGGCTTGAAAATACAAAATGCAAATTCAAGAGGATTTTAACTATGAATATGCTTATGTTTTTTAGAAATGAATGTGACGATTTGTAGAGGTATTTGTTTGTTAATGAGAAATGAGTTTTGAGAAAATGATGAGAATACACACTTAGGTAGTGCATGATCGTGAGCCCAACATAATTGTTGTAATAATGAGTATATGAAAGCGAAAAAGTGAAAATGAGTAAGAATTGATTATGGCATGATCAATGGCAGGAGTTCGTCTAGGGATTGGGTGTAGAGAAAATTCATATGGTATTTGGGCTGCCCTCTGGTGCACAAGGGTATAGCCTTATCTCACTGTTTGTCGAGGGATTGTCCTATAATTTGTCGAGGGACTAGAACCTAGCTATCTCCACCAATTTAATGAGGAGACCAGCCTAGGGTATGAAACACCCCAGGGATTCGAGAATGGGGGAAGCTGTAGTTTGAGAGTGAGTCCTGTGATCTTTGGCCAAGTCACACCTCATGATTAGTGAGCTTGGGTAGTCCAATCATACAAGTAGAGCCCTAATCAGTGTTATAGTCCATGGTTTTAGTCTAAAGAAATAAGGAGGATATAAGGTTGGTTGATCATTGCCTAAGTAAATATATGGTGTGTCACACATATTAAGTGGTGGCAAGTCGCATGAGTATAGGTCATGTTATGCATCTGAGAATATGGTGACAATGCACCTAGTTATGAGAGTTAAAGAAGTTATTTAATGATAAATGATGAGATATGATACATGCCAACATGTTTTATATTTTAGATTTTCTTATGCATGTATTTCGTTTATGATTAATATATAACTGCATAGGATAGGTTTAACCTTGGTTACTAAGTAGCTAGACTCACTCCCTTTCATTTAACATTTTCAGGCTCTACCTCTGGTGTTGAGAGGGAGAAGGCTAAAGAGGTGGGAAATTAACATATTCCTACTGTATGCCTTTAGTTTAGATTCAATTGTGTAATAGTATATGATTTTCCAATTCTAGAATGCATGCTACCACACTTGCACTATTTTGTTGTTGGAAATTTTAGATTTGTATTTTAGGCCCTTAGTCTTTGTGTATGCTGATATATATGTTTATAGAACCAAAATACTAGTGCAAGTGTAGAAATAATGATTTGAACATGTTTTGAATGATTTAGGCTAGATGCAATGACAATTTACCTCCTTTTCTATTTTTGGTAAAATAGGGTTAAGGAGTGAATTTTGGTTATAATGATATTTCAGTGCTTGTGATGTGTTATACTAGTAGTTCTAGGTCCATTAGACATGGTCCAGGTGTTAGGAAAAGCTTTTGGCACTTATTGAGGGTTTTAGACACCTATTTTGTGTAAAAGTGTTGAAAAATGGTTAAAATGTGTTTGGGTGTCCAACTTCCTAATGTGACATGTTTTGAAAGTGAAACCAGTGCCATTAGCTAGTTCATGTAAAGAGCTTTCCGTAGACACCTAGATCACATCATTCGGACGTCGGACGAAGAATCGGGGCAAGACAGAAGTTCCCTCGATTCTGCTGTCATTTGATAGCAGAATCAATTGAAATTTCGTGTAACATGCTGCAGCGCATGGCACCTGAGCTGCGGTGCATGGCATAAAGAGCAACACACCGTGGCGCATTGCCCTTTATCACAGCACATATTTTGTTTTTCAATTGTTTTCGACTTCTTTCACTTCCTTGAGGTATCCTATGCTTTTGTAACTTATTTTTAGTCTGATATGAAAGATTTTAATTGATTTAAACTCATTTTATTTAGAAAACTTAAGATCCCTTGCTTTTAAATTAAACCTTGGTAATCGTCCTTTCGAGTTGAGTCTCGGGTTACCAGGAGTTATATTAGTTAATTATGTTTGGTAGAGTGAGAATGTTTCACTGTGAGTTTGGGATTGTAAGTGGTTTCACAAGTGCTCGAATTGAACTTGCAAGAGAGAAATAGACTTATGGGTTTGAGATTGTAAGTGGCTTCACAAGCATCGGGTCAAGCTTGTGGTTATAGTAGAAAATCTTAAGAGGTTTCTAGGGACTGAACGTAGGCCAAAGGGATTAGGTTAAACTAGGATAAATTATCTTTGCAAAGCTTCTCTTCCCTACTCTCAACTTTGTTTGGTGATATCGCTTCCATTTTATCTTTATATATGCTTTAATTGCTTTATTTTTAATTAGCACAATTCACCCCCTCTTAGGTGGTTTTTACATCTTGGACTGGGCATTGCCTTGGACTAAGCAAATATTGACACCCTATAAGTTCAAAATGGGGGAAGTCAAGGTTAGAGAGTGAGTATGGGGCCTTAATCAGGTCACCCCTCACAATTGATAGCCCATAAATTCAACCAGAAGATATAAAAAGAGTAATAAGGGTAGAGCATGCTCATACATAATTATCATTATTATTGCACATATTTTATGGTCATGTATGTATATATGTATGTGTGTTATCATGAGTTACATGTTGAAATACTATAAAATTGCTAGAAGTGCCTATATGCTTAATTTGCTTTTATGTGCTACACAATTATATGTGTGAATTTATGTGTTTGATTATTGTGATTGTATAATCTCACTATCGTGATTTAACATTTTTCCAAGAAATGCTTTAGGTTCAGGACACATGAGCGACTTGAACAATTATTATATTTTTGTATATCCTACATTTTTGGAATATTCTATTTCATCCATTGCATTAGATTATTTTTATAAGTTACTTGAAGGGATATTTTGTTTAAAATTAAAAAAAATAATTTTTAAATAGTTTAGAGTTTTTATAAAAAGTATTTTATTTTGAAGAGATTTTGAAAAAGATTAAAATTATTTGATATTTGGTAACTTACACTATGTGAACATAATTTTATAATAAAAAAATCATTTTTTTAACAAAAAATGAAAAATTTAACACATATGTTAAATATATCTATTTATATAATAAAATGATCAAGAGCGCATTTATTTAAAATTAAGATATAAGTGATTTTTAGACAATTTAAAAATTTTATAAGAAGATATTTATTTTATTAAAAATTTGTAAAAAGTAGATACCATTTTACATTTAGTTAAAATAATAATTAATCATTTTTAAATTTTATAATCTCTTGATTTCTATTTTAAAAATAATTTATTATTAATTATTTTAAAATTTTATAAAGTCTTCACATATCTTGTATTTTTAAAATATTCTCTCTCTCATATAGCTTTCTAAAAAAAAAAATGTTGCATTTTGATTTACAGGTTTTGGATTCATTTGTTTTAGTTTATTTCATGAAAAAAACTTATTTTTCAAAAAAAATTATTTCATGAGTTTTTATTATATTTGTTTAAATTTTTGAAAATAATTAAAATCTAAAAAAAGCAGATTTTTAATTATTTTAATTTAATTTTTAAAAGCTAATTTAGATATTCTAAAAATAATTTAATGGATAGATGAGATAAAGTTTTAAATAGGCATGATACACAAATAAATCATAAAATTTTAAAATAATATAATAATAAATTATTTTTATAAAAACAATTAAGAAAGATATTGTGAAATTTAAAAATAATTGCTAATTAATAATTTTTTTTATTATTATAACCAAATATAAAATTATATTTATTTTTTATAAAATATTTATAAAATAAATTTTTTTAAAATCTTTAAATTATTTAAAACTTTTTTTTTTAAATTTTAAACAAACCGCCCTTTTAAAAATAAAAGCTCATAAATAGATTTAAAAAATAATAATTTTTTCAATAAAATAAGTTCGAACAACCAGCTCTAAAATTTTAGTTGCATTATGACTAATTTACCCATTTTATTATATGATAATTCAAAAATGCCCCCCAACAAAACCTAATGCACGTGCCCTACCAGGCCTCCACTCCACGCCAGTGTAACTTCCTATCGCGCCAGACCGTGACCTGCAGCCGTGTTCGCCGTCGCCGGGCACAGGTGTGACTTTTCTCTGTGAGCCGTGTCTTTTTTCCTGCTCTGTTTTGATTCTTGTGATAATTAAAGTAGAAATCAGTATGCTTCTTGTAGCAAGAGGAAGTGGGATGGTAAATGTGAATTGTGGAATATACCAAGTTCGACAGACGCAAACTAAAAAGGAAGCTAGAGTCAAAAGGAAAAAGCTTCCAGTTTCGAACTTACCTGATTGACAAGATGAACGGTGGGATCGAAGAAAACAATACCAAAGTTCTGAACACTACGCAGAACCCTGCCTCTCCCTCTCCCGCGCTGAGTTTTGTGTTCCTAATTCCAATACCCGTTTCCTAATCTGAAACGCTTTGACATGCATAAGTTGAACTCTTTTTCAGTTGATCAGTTAAACCATTTGTCCATTCCTCTTCTAGATTTTTCACCACACAAGAACAATAGTTCTCTTGAACAAAATTTTGACAACATAAAATCCAACCTAGAGAATCCTACTTGGGGAGATTTGATTCATTCTGAACTAAAAAATTTGAAATGAAAGGGCTTTCTTTGACTGTTAAGAGTAGGAAATGCGTTCCCGGTGTCTTTATAGCCCTGGACTGTGAAACAAAGGAGTATCCTGAACCTGCACCATGGTATTGACAGCAATTCTCAAATATCGCAGAATAGAATTGGATTCGATGACATAAAATGCAATAGAAACAAAGACATGGGGAACAGGTTACCTACTCTTAACAGTCAAAATGAACCCTTTCATTCTGAATTCTTTGATTCGGAATGAATCAAATCTTCCCAAGTAAGATTCGAACCTATGACCATTCTATTAAACTACTTCTCTGGGTTGGATTTTATGTAATGAAAATTTTGCCCAAGAGAACTATTGTACTAGTGTGGTGAGTCCATGACAAAATCTAGAAGAGGAATGGACTAAAGCTTTAACTGATCAATTGAGAAAAAGTTCAACTAATGCATGTCAAGGCGTTTCAGATTTGGAAATGGATATTAGAACTTTGGAACACAAAACCCAGCACGAGAGAGGGAGCGGCTGGCTTCTGCGTAGTGTTCTGTGAGAGGAACATGGGCTGAATTGAGTTGTCCCTTGTCACTGAATATAATTAAAAGAAATTAGTAATTTAGTACTATGTATTACTTCATTCTAGGTGTTTACTCTTCTATGGATTGCAAGGGTCAGATATCAGAACTTGAAAATATTGTGGAGTCCAAGGTACTAACAAATTTCATGTTTTGAATGTATTTAAACTTCAATTTTTCTCCATAAACTTAAAGGTATCCTCTATGCTTCTTCAGATATATACAGTTGAAGATAGAACAGAGATGGATGCTTGTATCCCTTCTGCAGGAGAGAGCTGTAGATACTATGATCAAGCACAGTTTGCTGCTATGAGTTTGAAACCAAAAATTGAAGCCTTGTGGTCGGAGGTATTTCTACTTTATTATTATACATAATATAGATATTGTATTATCTAATGAATTTTCCTTATGCTATAAAGTTGTTGTTTTTTTTTTAAATATTGATGATAAACATTGAAAACAAAAACGTTAAACTAACAAAAATATATATAGAATATGTGCATTACATGAAAATAAATTACTGCTACCATTTTCATGCTGATCGATTCACACACCCCCCCCCCCAAAAAAAAAAGAAAGAAAATGTGTCCTGGGTCCGTCCTTGATTCAATTATATGTTGATGTAAAAAATTCACCTTCTTGTCTCATTTCTAGAATAATCTTATTCTTTTATTAAAAAAATACTCGTTGATGTTTATCTGTTTGAACAGTCTGATGTCTTGTCAGAATTACAAAAGTCATTGCAAGGTAACTATAAAGATGTGGATGATAAATTTGAAGACCTGCATACGCAGATGTCCAACGAACTTGCCAAAATCTTGTACTGTCTTGAAGATCTTGGACTTCTATGTACTCATGAGGTATCCATCCTACTGTTAGACAATTTGAACAATGTTTCTGCCAAAATGAAAAAAGAACATGAAAAATTGATACTCCCTCTGGTTTTAAGTGTAGGAGCTAATTGAGGAGTTTGTTTACTGTTAAATGTATGAACTCAATCTCTCTTGTATCCCACATTTATTATTATTTTTCCAAATTATCTCTATTGGTTGCAAACAATTTCCAAAGTAAATGATTAAAAGGATAGGTTTTTTAAGGGAAACCAACACATTTTTCTTAATAAAAAATCAACTTGACTAATTTCCTTAATCTATGTGAATAAGTTATTTAGCTCTTACATTTAGGACTTGAGAGAGTATCTTTTGCCATTGTAATGAAATATTCACAGCAGCCGTTACATATATATATATATATATATATTTTGGTATTAGCAGCCATAATTTTTTATTCGTTTGACCAACACGAGATTTTTGACTTCGTAAAATTGGTATATAAATCTTTCTTGGGATAAATAATGTTGTCTTAATATGTGAATTCTTGTGAATGACATCAAAGATTTCATCTCTATCCTACATAAATTCTTTCGGCTCATCTCTATGTAATTATCTTTGGGTATGTGTGCGTCTCTTTGTTTGGTGTTTTTGCCCCAAATATAAGTTTGATCATCGATTCTCTCTTGTTAGGGTAATGATTCTCGTACACCAAATAACTATATAATTGCATGTATATTTAAATGCGTCTGCTTTTTCTTGTTTTATAGAAATATAACTATAAAAGGTGCTACTGTTCCTACAGGCTGTCAAAATATCTCTTGAGAAATTCCACAACATAGAGGAAGAGCATGAAGGATGCCAAAAAGATTTTCTGCATTGCAAACATTTCCTTGAAAATGTGATGCAAATAATTGGGGAATCTCTCCCTTCGGGTAGGCATTTTGGAAGATTTCATGTATTTATCTTTCTCCATGTGCTTTTGAATCTATGTTCATTGTTGAGATCTTAAGTATCATGCACAGACTACTGTTTTGTTCATCTATCACTAAAATTAGTCAAGCAGTCAGAACAAATTCTATTTAGTTAAAAATCTTTATGTATGAATATTTAGGCAGGTTTTACATTAACTTTAATACTAATACTTAGACAGCCCTCAGTGTTGAACATGTGGCTTGTAGTATGTTGTCAATATAATGCTTTAAGGTGCTTTCCCTCTTCTTTTGTAGACTTAGGTTTTATGGGATACTTGAGTTTCACAATAAGTAGTATATGTAATTAGGTTAGTTCTTCCGCCTTTATAACTAGCTTTTGGGGGAGGTTCCTAATCCCACTTAGGAACTTGGCAATTAGTATCAGAAACAGTTCTAGAAAGGGCTGCCTATAGGGGATTCTTACTGGTAAAGGAAGGGGTTTGACTAGCAAGGAAGTTGAGAAGTCAAGTGAAATGTTGTAAAGTACAGCTGTTGGGATGCTTGCTCTCCATGGGGGTCTTGGTGGAGAATTAGATTGTATGAGATATCTAAGTCTTAAATTGAGTAGTATGGGACGCTCAATGTGGTATTTATGTGGGTTAGTTCTTCCACCTCGATACTGCTTTTGGGGGAGGGTTCCTCATCCAATGGTGCCCATCAAAATTACTTAGCAATAGCAATTGTATTATCCTCTCAAGTCCTTTTTCTTGGAGCTAATTCCTTTTTTGAAGCCTATTGCTAGTGGTTAGCATAAAACCCTTGTGGTGGTATTTAGTTATTTTAATTAGATGTTATTTGTATTTTAGTTATTTTTGGATGGCATTTTTATCTATTTTGGATTAGGTTAGGTCAAGTATTTTGATTTAGTCAGGCCAAAGTTATCCTAATTTGATCAGGACAAGATTATTTTAAATGCTTTGCTTAGATAGCTCAATTACTTCAGAGCTTGGATCTCTTTCTTTTAGTGCCCGAAAATGTAACATTATTTTCATTCAATAAAAGTATGTTCAGAGGACTATTAGATGTTGAATTCCTACTGTGTGTATATATTTATAATGGATGAGTGCATGAACAAATGAATTCATGTCTATGTGTTTTTCTGCATGCCTGCTGTTGATCTTGGTTGACCAGTGCATTTTTGGTAACCACATTGCCTTTATGGTGGAATAATTTCATTTTGTATACTTATCATTGACATTTTCCGAATTAAATCTCTGCAGCTGATAAAAGCCTTTGGGAGGTTGAATTTGACCATACTGGGGCAGTAACTTTGGGTTACATATCTCCAAAATTACATGAACTTATTCAGATCTTCCAATCCCTTGGGTACAGACATCTGGATAAATTGATATTTTGCAATAAAGTTCCATTTCACATTATGATCTTTGTCCTGTGGATATTTTCTTTTGCAAGTTTGATTTCACATTATTATAAATGATTTTCACTACTGTGTCTTTTCTTACAGAGAATCTAGCTATGTTTCCTGCCTTATTTTTGTTGAGAGAATAATCACAGGTAAGGTTATTGAAAGGTTTGTGAAGAAAGTTCCCCAGTTATCTCATTTCACAGTTTCATATGCAACTGGAAGCAATACATCAAATGAGTTACTGGCATTAAAGAGGCAGAAGGAAACATTGGGTTCATTTTCCTCTGGAAAGGTATTTAATCATTGGATCATTCGAGTTAGATTGTTGACAATGTTGGTATTTTGAAATATTATTATTGTGAATTAATTCTTTTTATTTAGGTCAATCTCTTCTTTACCACTGATGTAATTGAGGAAGAAATCCATATCCCCAGCTGCTCTCCTGCTATACGTTTTGATCTACCCAAAACAGTTCATAGTTATATACAATCAAGGAGACGGGCTAGGCGGGCCAACTCTCAGTTTATTGTGATGCTGGAAAGGTGAGGTGTATATCTTGATGACATAAAAAAAGTTTTTGCAAGCTGAGATATCTTCCTTTGAAAAATCTAGTGTATATTCTCAGTTGTGTATTGTATTATTAACTATATCTTTAGGGGAAACTTGAAGCAAAGAAATCAACTGTTTGACATAATCAGGAGTGAGCGTTTCATAACCGATGACTCTATTAATAGTGGCCTCGATATTTTCTCCCCAAGGGCTTGTACACTAGAACAAGCAATCACATACTCAGTGGACTCTACTGGAGCATCAGTCACGTCATATTCTAGTGTTACTCTCATTCATCAATACTGTGAAAAGCTCAAAGGAGATAAGTAAGAATGTTTTTGATTGTTTTTGTTTGCTTTTAGCTCCTTAATAATGTTTTTCCTCTACTAAACAAAATTCAGCACGTGCTCTTGTAGTTGCATTCTATGTAACTTTCATACTTACTTTGTATCAGGCACTTCAATCCAAAGCCAATTTTTGAGTTTTTTGACTTGGAAGGTGGTTACCAGTGCAAGTTGTCATTGCCTCCTAATGCAGCTTTTCAAACGATAGTTGGTCCCTTGAGCAGAAATGCTCATTTGGCAAAACAGCTTGTATGTTTAGAAGCATGTAAGAAGCTCCATAAAATGGGTGCGTTGGATGATCATCTTTGCCCATCAGTTGAAGAAACTCTGCCATGGGTTCATACTGTAAAAGGCAATAAAACAAGTCCAGGTGCAGATATTAGTGTTCTGCTGATTAATATGTTATCTTTTATTATCAACCAAAATTGATATTCAATTCATTATGGAAGCACTATTGTTGCAAACAACGTTCAAGGTATTTTATTGTACAGATTGAGACTTGAATTTTTGTTTTTAAATTGGATCATAATGAAAACCTTATTTATGCAATTTATGATAAGTAGAAGCTTAGATATGGAGAATGATGTATCTTATTGGCTATAAAACTTCCTGGGCATGCCAATGTGAGGAAGGTTGGCTCGCCCTTTTTGGGCACTTGTGTCTACTAGCTTCAGACACTCCTAAGGTGCCAACCATTTTTTTTTTTTTTAGGGGGGTAGGGGATGGGTGGTATAGGGACAGATGCTGAATGTTGCTTGGTGGAGTCATGAGGTTGTCTGGCTTTCTAATGGGTCTAGTTAGGTTATGAATGCGTTTTTTTATTTTGTTTGCTTATGGTATTTGAAGGAACCACAAAAAGGAAGGAGTTGCATGGCTCAGCTAGCATTCGTGCTTTATGTGGAACTTGGAAAGATAAACTTGATGGAGCCATATTTCATGCCTATACATTTGATTTCACCTGTAATGTTGCTCATGATGTGTACTCTGGGTTTGTTCTTCTGATTGAGTCAAAGCTTGATGATGACGTTGGAAATTTTGAATTAGAACTCTACCTGATCTCAAAGATTGTGAAGACTTCAGTCTCATCATGTGGCCAAGTGCGTTTGGATGCTGAGCAGGTATTGAAATGGGAGCTTTATTTGATGTATGAAAGGGAAAATACGTTTCACTCCTTGGGCCAGCAGATGGTTAAAAATAGCATGGTACTGAAAACCGGACCGGACCGGACCGGCCGGATCAACTCGGAAACCAGTGACCCGGTCCCTTGTCTGGTCTGGGTTTACTCTTAACCCGGTGAGGGAGTGAACCGGTGTAACCTGGTATAACCCGGATAACCCAGTGGGTTGACCGGGTTATTATTTTTTCAGACTTTTATCTCCAAAACGATGTCGTTTTTTTTTTTTTTTTCATTTTTAATTTTTTAGAGCTCTGAGTTCAGAAATAAGATGACAAAAAAAGTAAAATTGAAGTCAAATAATGAAAAATTAGAGGCAGAGCATGCTAAGTCCAAAAATATAGTATTTTATTATTGTTAGACTTTTGAGTAGTTGGATTTAGTTAAATGTTTTTATAATTAATGTCTTTTTATTTAAATTGTATTATTTTAATCATGATCGGTTTGCCACCGGTTCAACCCCCGGTTCAACCCCGATTTAACCACTAACTTGTGACCCAATGCCATGACCGGTTTAATGGCCGGTCCGGTTTTACGTACCTTGAAAAATAGAGCAAACTGAAAATTGTAACAAAAACATCCACCCCTTTTCACTGGGAACAGAAAAGCACCCACATTAATTGAATTAGTTTACTGCAGTTGTAATTTGTCTTTAAAGTGATAAAATGTATTTTCCCATTTATGAAATGCCTTAATCCAGAATTTTCCTTCAAATTTAGCTGTGTTCTGTTTTCTTTTATTTATCAGATGAAGAATGCAAAATCTTTCCATGAACTTCTTTTCAATGGTGTATTTGGGAGATTAGTACTTCGTTCCAAAGAAGCAGGGGGAAGGCAATTTTTACTTCAGGATGAAACGTCATCATTATGGATTCCATCAAACTTATATTTGCTTCTACCTCTTGATAAACATGATAGTTATGAGGAATCTTTGAAAATCAACTGGGCAGGAATCAACTCTTGTGCTTCTGCTATTGAATTTATGAGGAAAAAGTATTCTCTAGGTGATGACCATTGTGATGATTATAGAAAAAATTTACCATCCCATGATATCAGTATGTCAGAGGCAGATTGTGGGGGCAGGGAAAAGATTCATTTTGCTAATTGTGTGTTTGATGTTAACAATGTCAAAGATATGGTAGTTTTGGCCATCCACACTGGAAGAATATACTGTATAATTGAAGCTGCTCATGATCTGTCTGCTGAAAGTCCTTTTGTTGTAACTGCTGAGAATCTGGCTGCAGCAGAGCGTATCACCTTCTCTGATTATTACCGCAAAAGGTAACTGCATTATTCGCTGCCAAAATGTCTGGGCCCCCTCCTTTTCCTTGCTGCACTTCACTTCCTATATCATTATTGTAATTAACTAAACAGCTTGAAGTTCATCAGGTATGGGATTACACTAAGACATCCAGGACAGCATTTGCTGCTTTTGAGGCAAAGTCATAATCCACACAACCTTCTTGTGAACTTCAATGAGGATGGTTAGTAAACTTTAGTTTGAATTTCAAAATCTTATTGGTATTTGATTATTGGTTTGAAATAATTGAATGTTTTAATCTGATTCTACTGCAATTTACAGCCAATAATTACAATAAAAGAACTAAGTCAAAAAGAGTGTCAAATGCTTCTGATGGAGGTGTGGTAGTATGGAATACCAAGTCTTATATAATAGCATGGGATGCTCAATGGGGTATTTAAGTGGGTTGGTTCTCCCGCCTCGACAGTTAGTTTTTGAGGTAGGGTTCCTCATCCCACTTAAGTGCCCATCAATTGGCATTAGAGTCGGTTGTTGGTAGTTTTGGAGAGGGCTACTGATAGGTGCTCAAATATTTAAAAGAAATCAGAGGAATAAATCTACTAAGATGATATAAAACAAGAATCTTGTTCTATATCACTCTCAATAGTCACGCTTAGGAGAATCTTCAAAAGGTTTAAAGGCTGTTATATTTATGATATGCTAGCTTCAAGGTTGCTAGTCATATTTATAATGCTAAATACAATTTAAAATAAAATCTAGATAACTATCTAAGATAATGAATAAAATCTAGATAACTAGATAACTACATAAAATCTCCTAAAATCTAAAATACTGAATAATAGATAAAACATTGAATCTAAATAAAATCTAAAGAATTAAATAGAATCTAAAGAAATATTTAAAAACTAAATAAAATACTAAATCAAATGAAATTAATCCTAATTTATCTTTTGCCACTTCCTTCTTGAATAAGTTTGAATTTTATTTGGAATCTTATCAATAACCCTCTCTTGAAAACTCAACTTGTCCTCAAGTTGAAAAGAAGGGAATTGAGCATGTAATAGGTCGCAGTCCTCCCAACTTGCCTCTTCCACTGGTCACTCAAGCCATTCTACCAATAGTTCAAGCGAATGATGATGAGTCCATCTATGATTTAAGACTCGATGAGGCCTTACATGTAACTCAAAATCTGCTGAGAGTGGTAACGACGTTGGTGTAATTAGGATCCATCCCATGAGCCTGGCGCATGAGAGATACATGGAAAATAAGGTGAATACGAGCATCAGCTGGTAGTTCCAATTCATAAGCTACTTTACCAATTCTTCAAAGAATCCTATAGGGCCTAAAGAAGCGAGGTGATAATTTTTCAAACTTTTACTTGGTAAGTGATTGTTGGCAAAAAGGCTGTACTTGCAACCACACAACATCGCCTATAGCATACTCAACTTCCCTTCGATGCTTGTCAGCATAGGCTTTCATTCGGTCCTAAGCCTTGCACAAATCATCCTTCAAAAGTTGGATCACTGCATCTCTGGTCTCAAGTTGATCTTCCAAGTCAGCTATAGGTGTTTCTCCTCTCACATAAGGAAGTAGGGGAGGAGGATCTCTTCCTTATACTAGCTTGAAAGGTGAATGGTTGGTTGACGCACGTTGACCTGTGTTGCATGAATATTTCACCCAGCAAAGAAACTTGTGCCAAGATTTGGGTTGCTCATGGGCAAAACATCACAAATAGGCTTCAAGACCATGGTTGACCACTTCTGTTTGACCATTTGTTTGTAGATGGTAGGTAGTACTCATCTTCAACGTGGTTAGGCTTAATCGGAATAACTCTTGCCAGAACGAGCTCATGAAGATAGGGTCCCTATCAGAGACAATTGAGGAAGGTACCCCATGCAGGCGAGTAATTTCTTCACAAAAAATTGTAGCAACCTTCTTTGCAATGTAAAGATGCGAAAGAGCAAGGAAATGTGCATAATTACTCAAATGATCCACTACTAGCAAAATAACCTCAAACCCTCCAGACTTTGGAAGACCGGTGATAAAATTAAGGGAAATGTCCTCCCAAATTTGAGAAGATACAGGTAAGGGTTGAAGAAGTTCAGTTGGTGCTAGGGTTTGATACTTATTTTGCTGACAAGTGGCATAATGTCGCACATATGCCTTCACATCTGCTTTCATTGCTGGCCAATAAAAATTCTTTGTGAGACGCTTAAATGTCTTGAGAAAACTGCCGTGCCCTCCCATAGTAGTAGAATGGGCTTTTGCTATTAACTTTGATTGTAAATGTGATGAATAAGGAATGACTACTCTGTGGTCATAGAAAAGTTTTTGATTAACCAACTGGAATCTAGGTCGGGAAGTCAGAGTGTTCTGTAAATCCTACATTATTTCATTAGTGAAAGGATCCAATGTCAACTTAGAAGAAAGGTTGTCCAACTCAGTAGCAAAAGGTATTGCCATTTGAAAAGAATCGACATGTTGTGGACGCCTTGACAACACATCAGCCCCCTTATTCTCCACTCCTGCCTTGTGGATGATGATAAAATTAAAGGGTAAGGGTTTGATGATCGGTCGTTGTTGAGTGTTTGTTGTGATACATTGTTGTAATAAATATTGGAGACTAGCGTGGTCTGTTCTGACAAGAAAAAGGTAATGGCACCATTTTTGGACTGCAAGATCTAACGCTAGGAGTTCACGATCGTAAGTGGATTTGAAGTGGTTAGAGAAAGAGAATCCTTTATTGAGTAAGCAATGGGGTGGTTATTTTGCATAAGTATAGCACCAATCCCTTTTGTGGATGCATCAAATTCAACTGTAAATTCTGCTTTAAAATTGGGCAACTATAGGATGGGGGCCATCATCAATGCTTGTTTTAGGCGATTAAAGGCCTTTTGAGCTGGTTCAGACCATAAGAAGGCATCTTTCTTAGTTAACTTAGTGAGAGGACGAGCAATAATCCCGAAATTCTTCACAAAAGGCTGATAATATCTTGCCAAGCCTAAAAATCCATGTAATTCCTTCACATTTTTAGGAGTAGGCCATTCATGTACTACTTCCACCTTTTCCGCCTCAACTTCAACTCCCTGGGAAGAATGCCCTAAGAAGGGAACTCATGGTCTCCCAATAAAGCATTTTTTAAAATTGACATAGAACACACTTTCTTGTAGGGTCCACAAGACAATACGCAGGTGGTCTTGGTGTTGCTAGAAAGAGGAACTGTATATCAAAATATCATCAAAGAAGACCAAGACAAACTTTTGCAAATAGGGGCAGAATAAATCGTTCATAGCTGCTTGAAAAGTAGCTGGTGCATTAGTTAAGACAAAAGGCATGACTATAAACTCATAGTGTTCTGGCTTGAGCTTGAAATTCTGTTTGTAAATATCCTCAGGTTGCATCCTAATCTAATGGTACCCAGATCGTAGATCTAGTTTGGAAAAGTAAATCGCCCTGTGTAGTTCATCTAATAACTCATCAATATTGGGAATTGGATACTTATTTGGGACTGTGATGCTATTCAATTTTTGGTAGTCTACACAAAAATGCCATGAACCATCTTTCTTTGCGACCAATAATATTAGGCTGGCAAATGGACTGGAATTGGGACGAATAAAACCTTTGTTTAATAATTCTTCAACTTGCTTTTCAAGTTCAACCTTTCGATAATGTGGATACCTGTATGGTCGTAAGTTGAGTGGTTTGGCCCCAAGTAGTAGGGTAATGGTATGTGAGTGATCTTTGAATGGTGGTAGGGTTGTGGGCTCTTCAAAAACAGATGGGAAGTCTGCAAATAAAGGTGCAAGGTTGAAATATGTGAAGGGTTGAGAGTCATTGGAAGCTTCTATTTGTTGCATTGAATTAAATTGAGCACCTCTAGTAGTGTCAGGGACTCCTTGTAACTTATACCTCTTGCGATTCAACCAAAAAATCATAAAGAGTTCATTCTAATTGGCTGTATTAGGAGATGCTAACCACTTAATGCTCAGCACCATATCAGCTCCTCCCAAGGAAAATGGGAAAAAATCTTCTTTAATAGTTAGCTTTGAGAGCTTAACTCCCACATCTTTACATACTCGGTTGCAGCATACAATACTACTATCTCTAATTTGAACTCTGAATGCAGAAATATAATAAGTGGGAAGATGTAATTCTTGCACCAATGAGTTTGATATAAAATTATGAGTGGACCCACTATCTACAAGTAATAAGACTTCTTTTGTGAGCAATGTCCCTTTTAAGTTTTATTGCTGCCCCTGTGTTGCTACCTAAAATAGCATTTAATGAAATTATTGTCCCCTCTACTGTAATATTATTGGGTTCATGGTCTTCAAAAGGGGGAACGACTTCATCACCTTCCTTTGTGATTTCCATGAGATAATGAGCCCCGACAGTGGTGCCCAGGACGAAACACGTCTCCACAGTGAAAACACAGCCCTTGTCTCTCAGGCGCTGTTGCTCGATGTCTAGGGAAGAGTTCTCGAGATGTCATATTCAAAGATCTGGGCATGATGGGGGTCGATGCTAGCGTTTTGTGCGAGCTTGAAGATGAAGAATATTCAAAGCTTTAGTGGTCGTGTGCGAGAGAGGAAGTCAGGTTGTTGAAGCGGGTTTGGGTTTGTGGATACCCACTTTATTTTCGATCTCTAGTGCTAGACTCATTGCTCGGTAGGCTGATCTTGGCTTATGGATGCGTGCGTCGATTGCAACTCCTCCTTCAACCTGTTCAAGAAGACACCGAGCAAGCAATGCTCTGGCCAGTTCTTCACTCATGCTAAACGTTTTGCGAATTCTGTGCGGTAATCCTGTACTGACCCTTCTTGCTTGATGCTACAAAGAAACTCATTTGGATTTTGGTATTCAAGGGGTCTGAAGTTCTCCTGAAATGCTGCCACGAGTTCATCCTAGTAATGGATTGTTTTCTCATGATTGATCCAAGCAAAGAGATCCAGTGCATCACCCTCCAATGACAATGAGGCCACATCCACCTTCTCTTCCTCAGGTGTGTTATTGTATGTAAAATACTTTTCAGCGTTTAAAATCCATCCTCATGGGTCACCTTCATTGAACTTTGGAAATTCAATTTTGGTGAGATGAAATCTGGTGCGTCTGTGGTTTTCTTGCTTATCTTCACTTTCTTCATCTTTGTAATAGTGTCTGCGGTGTGAATCTCTAGGTTTCTTGATTGTAGAGGTTTCAAGTGCCTCTACCTTTTCTTTTAATAAACCAAGAGTTTCAAGTTTTCGAGTGATTGCTGCTAGTTGGTCTGACATGAGTGAATTTGAATTTTCTAGGTTGTTGGATTGTCAGAAGGATTTGTTTCTTGGCTAGCATGTGTGGTAACCATGGCTTTGATGCCAAATTGATAGGTGCTTGAATGTTTAAAAGAAATTAGAGGAATAAATCTACTAAGATGATATAAAACAAGAATGTTGTTTTATATCACTCTCAATAGCCACGCTTACGAGAGTCTTTAAAGGATTTAAAGGACTGTTTTATTCATGATATGCTAGCTTCAAGGTTGCTAGTCATATTTATAATGTTAAATACAATCTAGAATAAAATCTAGATAACTATCCAAGGTAATGAATAAAATCTAGATAGCTAGATAACTAAATAATAGATAAAACACTAAATCTAAATAAAATCTAAAGAATTAAATAGAATCTAAAGAAATATTTGAAAACTAAATAAAATACTAAATCAAATGAAATTAATCCTAATTTATCTTCTGCCGCTTCCTTCTTGAATAAGTCTGAATTTTATCTGGAATCTTATCAGCTACCCATGGAGAGTTCTGACCAGCAAGAGGCCAAGTTAAGTGTTATGTGGTGTAGCTGTTGGGACATTGGCTTTCCATGGGGCGCCAATTGATGAAGACTTGATAGTATGGGATACCAAGTCCCACATTGAGTAGTATGAGATGTTTAATAGGATATTTAAGTGGGTTGGTTATTCCACATCAATAAATGCTTTAGGATTAGGGTTATATATCCCACTTAGGTATCCATCAGCTCCCTAATCCTTGGCCTATCAGAAAAAGAAACAATTGAAAAATTTATTCTATACAACCTCTATACGATTAGAGCTATATAGAACTAATAACAATTAGTTGACTTACTGTGAAAGAAAATAACTCCGCCTATGTTTATAGCCGGTCCCAAGCCCGGGTAAAGGAGGAGGGTTGTGTTAGGCCATCAACAGCCAATGTAAAAATTTGTTGAATCTATCATGAACATGGACAATAGACGTTATAATGTTAATGCTAGGTCGTTGCCCGTAAGTAACGCGCTGCATGGCTCGAGTACAGTGATAAGTGAGTTAGAGCCGCTGCATCGGCGCCCGGATGTAGTGTTAAATGAGCAAGGGCTACCGCGTCATTCTGGACGCACGCGGCTAAAGAAGTTAGTCCATAAGAGCAAAATTAGATTTGGTACTTGGAATGTTGGGACATTAAATTGTAAATCTGTAGAGGTTGTAGGGGTTATGATTCAAAGGAAAATCAATATCCTTTGCTTGCAAGAAACAAAATGGCGTGGAGAAGAAGCTAAGGATATTCAAGGTTTCAAACTTTGGTATACAGGAAAAGTAAGTGCACGCAATGGAGTAGGCATCATTATAGATAAGGAGTGGAAGAAGAACGTTGTAGAAGTTAGCAGAATTGGAGACAGAATTATTTCTTTAAAAATGATAATTGGACGTGAGACTGTTAATATTGTTAGCGCTTATGCGCCGCAAGTCGGGACAGAAGCCAGTCTTAAGGAATTATTTTGGGAGGATCTGGAGGGGTTGATTCGACACATACCACAGAGTGAAAAGATTTTTATTGGAGGAGACTTTAATGGGCATGTCGGGAGGGAAGCTGGTCAGTATGCGAGGGTGCATGGTGGTTTTGGTTTTGGAGAGCTAAACAATGAAGGGCAAACTCTTCTTGATTTCTCATTGGCGTATGATTTTAAGATTGCCAACACTTGTTTCAAGAAGAGAGATGAGCATCTCATCACCTACAAAAGTGGAACCTCAAGGTCGCAGATTGATTTTCTTTTGGTTAGGAACACAGATAGAAAACTTTGTAAAAATTGTAAGGTGATCCCTGGAGATGCTGTAACGACACAACATAGGGTCCTAGTCCTTGATGTGTGTATTATGAGTAAAATCCAAAAACGTCGACAAGTAGTAACACCAAGGATTAGGTGGTGGCAATTAAAAGGTGAGAAGCAAGATATTTTCAAGCGAAATCTTTTGGATAAAGGAATTTGGGATTCTCAGGGAAGTGCTAACATCATATGGGAGGATATGGCTAAAAAGATACGGGAGGTTGCAAAAGTAGTTTTGGGAGAATCGAAAGGTCCTGGTCCGAGAGATAAGGAGTCTTGGTGGTGGAATAATAGTGTACAGGACAAAATCAAGTATAAGAAGAACTGTTTTAAAGCCATACATTTGTGTAACAATGAGGAAAATTGGGAGAGGTACCGTATGGCTAAGAAGGAAACTAAGAGAGCTGTGGGTGAAGCTCGTTCTAAAGCTTTTGAAGAATTTTATAAGAACCTTGAGACGAAGGAAGGAGAGCAAAATATTTATAAGATTGCCAAGAGTAGGGAAAGAAAATCAAGAGATCTAGAACAGGTAAGGTGTATTAAGGATGAAGAGGGAAGAATTTTAGTTACAGATGATGAAATTAAAAATAGATGGGAGACTTATTTTTCTAAACTTTTCAATGATGGAGAGGATTCATCTAGTAACTTGGAGGATTTAGTAACTGGTGAAGGAGAACAAAATTTGTCATTCTATCGAAAAATACGTGATAAGGAGGTAAAGGAAGCTCTTAAGAAAATGGCAAATGGTAGAGCTAACGGACCTGATTGTATATCTATCGAAGCGTGGAAATGTTTAGGTGAAGAAGGGGTGAGATGGTTAACTAAGTTATTTAATGTGATTTTACGGTCCAAGAAAATGCCTGATGAGTGGAGGAGAAGTACATTAATTCCTATTTATAAAAATAAAGGAGATATTCAGAATTGTACTAACTATAGAGGGATTAAACTCATGAGCCACACAATGAAATTGTGGGAGAAAGTAATTGAGCACAGGTTGAGATTGGAGACAAGTATTTCTGAGAATCAATTTGGTTTTATGCCAGGTAGATCAACTACAGAGGCGATTTATCTACTAAGGGGATTAATGGAAAAGTATCGTTGTAAAGATAAAGATCTACACATGGTTTTTATTGATTTGGAAAAAGCTTATGACCGTATACCAAGAGAAGTGCTTTGGAAAGCGTTGGAAAAAAAGGGAGTACGGATTGCTTATATTAAAGCCATACAAGATATGTATGAGGGGGTAAAAACTAGTATAAGAACGCCTAGTGGTCAAACAAAGGATTTTCCTATAAAGATTGGGCTACATCAGGGATCATCTCTGAGTCCTTATTTGTTCAACTTGATTTTAAATGTTTTGACGGAACATGTTCAAGAGGAAATCCCGAAATGTATGCTTTTCGCGGATGATATAGTTCTTATAGCAGAGACAAGAGAAGAGGTTAATTGCAAACTTGAGTTATGGAGGAGGACATTGGAGTCGAAAGGTTTTCGTCTGAGTAGAAGTAAGACGGAATATTTATATTGTAAATTTGATAAAGGACTATTCGAAAATAATTTGGAAGTGAAATTGGGAGATCAAATTATACCTCAAGTGGAAAAGTTTAGATATTTGGGAGCCATTATCCAAAATGATGGCGAAATCAGTGGAGATATTTCACATAGAATTCAAGCTGGGTGGTTTAATTGGAGAAAAGCTAAAGGAGTTATTTGTGACCGTAAGGTGCCTAATAAACTTAAAGGAAAGTTTTATCGTACTGCTATCAGACCGGCAATGTTATATAGTAGTGAATGCTGGGCTCTAACGGGACAGCAAGAGCATAAAGTTGGAGTAGCAGAGATGAGAATGTTACGATGGATGTGCGGACATACACGTAAAGATAAAATTCGAAATGAGCACATACGTGAAAAAGTGAGGGTGGCACCTATTGAGGAAAAAATGGTAGAAAATCGGTTGAGATGGTTTGGGCATGTACAAAGAAGACCAAGGGAGGCACCAGTGAGAAGAGTGGAACATATAACTTTGAGTCCGATTAAGAGAGGTAGAGGAAGGCCTAAGAGAACACTCTTGGAAGTTGTTGAACGTGATCTCTTAATTAATAATATTTCTAAAAGCTTAATAAATGATAGAGCACAATGGCGTCTTGCAATCCATGTAGCCGACCCCACCTAGTGGGATAAAGGCTTGTTGTTGTTGTACTGTGAAAGAAATGATCATCCTAATGAATTTGTCCATTAAGCAATAAATCAGGAATTTCACACTTCCCTTTAATCTAGTGAGCAATGCCTGGTTATTTAAGCTTAAAAAATGATTTTCAAATTATTTAGATTTAACCTTGGATATTCTTAGCTTGTTCACCAAGCCATTTGGTTTCTTGCAAGCACAAGATATTAATTCTTCCCAAGATATTGATTCTTCAATAGCCTGCTAATAGCAAACTTAAGGAAAAAAAAAAAGTTTTGAGTTTTTTTACCGTTAGTTATCTGCTTGGACTGTTCTCTATAGAGTTAAACTTTGTATAGCATAGCCAATTCTCTAAATGAAATTTATAATGTTTATTGATTTAGTGGATTTTAGAAGTATGATCTATTATTCATAAATTTTCATAGAAATTCTGCTTCTGTTGACATACATGTTTGAACAGATACTCTAGGTAAGTCGCCAGAAGGTGGCCTGGTAACCCAAAAAGCAAGAGCTTATGTTCACATTCCACCGGAGCTTCTCTGCACCCTTGATGTTCGACGAGATGTGTTAAAGTCACTTTACCTGCTTCCATCTTTGATGCAACGCCTTGAATCATTTATGCTAGCCAGTCAACTTAGACAAGAGATAGCTGGCCAAGATAGCAGCTTCAACATACCAAGCTTTCTGGTTTGTTTAGTTGTGCTATTTATTTGTTTTTCATTTAAAAGATAATCCTTGTTCTTCTGTTTCAATTGTACATATTATCTCTTACAATGTCAGATTCTAGAAGCACTTACAACTGTAAGATGTTGTGAAAAATTTTCAATGGAACGTCTTGAGTTGCTTGGAGATTCCGTCCTCAAGTATGCTGTTAGTTGTGATCTCTTTCTTAAATATCCAAAGAAGCATGAAGGACAATTATCTGCTCAACGCACATGGGCCGTTTGTAATTCAACCCTACATAAATATGGAACAGATCACAAAATACAGGTAAATTCTTTTATATTTATTTTTCATTTGGATATAAAGAAATATTTTCCATCCAAAATATTCATCTGAATGTTTTTTCAAAAAAAAAAAAAAATATATATATATATATATTAATCTTTGGTTATAAAAATATTCCATCCAAATATTAAGGTCTATTAGTTTGAATGGTTTTTCAATGCGTCTCCCCTTAGAGTTTTATTCAACAAAATGCCATTGTGGTCACTACTATTTTCCTTATTTTATTTAGATGTTTTTTTTGGTTGTAATCTGGTTATCTTTAAATTCAGAGCGTAGGAAATGGTTATTATACATGGCCTAGTCGATAAAAATTTTGCAAGACTGAGAAAACTCTTCTCTCAATATCTGAACACTACTTTTCTTTGAGTTCCATTCGCCATTGATTCAAGAAGTGCAAAAGTTGTATTCCATCTAAATGGTTCTGCAATTTATCCAGTTAATAACTTAATTGTATTTTATTTTCTACAATAGGGATATATTCGTGACTCTGCATTTGAGCCCCGACGGTGGGTTGCTCCAGGACAGCATTCTATACACCCTGTTCATTGTGAATGTGGGGTAGAAAACCTTGAAGTTCCTTTAGATGAAAAGTTTCAAAGTGAAGATCCAAAAATTGTGGTTGGGAAGTTCTGTGACAGGCGTCACCGTTGGATATGTTCAAAGACTATTGCGGATTGTGTTGAGGCTCTGATAGGCGCGTATCATGTGGGTGGTGGACTACTTGCTTCACTTCATGTGATGAAGTGGTTTGGAATTTGTGTTGATCTTGAACCATCTTTGGTTGATGAAGCAATTGCTGTTGCATCTCTTCACATATATTCACCAAAACAAAATGAGATTGCAAGCCTTGAAACAAAAATTGGGTATGAATTCTCTGTCAAAGGACTTTTGCTGGAGGCAATCACACATGCATCTGAGAATGAACTTGGGGGTTGCTATTCTTATGAGGTAACTATAAAAGATTTCTGGAAATGTTGAACTGCTTCTTCTCTAATTTTTCTTTTGGGTTTTACTAATGGAGCTTTTATACTCACAAGTGAACATCCAGTTAGATTTATGTCAAACTTCAATATGATATTCCTATTACTTTATATGTTGTAGCAGAGGCTTGAGTTTCTTGGCGATTCAGTATTGGACCTGCTTATCACATGGCATCTATATCAGAGCCATACGGACATTGATCCAGGGGAGTTAACTGATTTGCGATCTGCTTCTGTCAATAATGAAAACTTTGCTCAAGTTGCGGTCAGACAAAATTTACAACAGTATCTTTTGCTTAGCTCAGATTTATTACTTGGCCAAATCAATGACTATGTCAGGGTTGTTTCTGAATTGAACAACACAAAATCACTTCCAGTCATTAAAGGACCCAAGGTTGCTGATGATTCTATTATTTTTTAATTTCTTTCATCTCTTTGTTATTTTTTGTTTTTGTTCTTGTTTTTGGCAAAATATGGCTGGTTAACCCTTGTTTTGTCAGAATTTTTTCTGTTTTCTTTTCATCATTATTTTTCATCATTATCATTTGTCTATTTTTGGCACAGGTACTTGGAGATTTAGTAGAAAGTATTGCAGGGGCTATACTAATTGACACCAAACTTAATCTTAATGAAGTGTGGAAAATTTTCAAGCCTTTATTATCTCCCATTGTCACTCCTGATAAACTTGAACTGCCTCCATTACGTGAACTACTAGAATTATCTGGCTCTCTTGGGTATTTCATAAAAGAAAAATGTAAGATGAAGGGAGATACGGTGTATGCAGAGCTTAGTTTACAGCTTCAAGATGTCCTGTTGGTTCAAGAGGGACGAGGCCCAAATAAGAAAACAGCAAAAGGAGAAGCTGCTTTTCGTTTATTAAAGGAACTTGAGGTATTCTTTGCTTCTCTTATGCTTTTCTGTTTTCCTTTTGGTATCAAATTTTCTAAAATATATGGTATTTGTTATTAAAAATAAAATGTACAAGCTATTGCTTTTGCCCATCTGTATGCTTTATATTCACTTTCTATCATATTTGGAAGTGTTGAAGAATTCGTGTTGGGTCAACACTAATCCTCTCATGTAATTTATGTGGAATCAATTCAAGGGCTATGCTTTGAAATTTTAAAAAAACATGTTGATGGAGTTTCTTTGTGGTTAATACTAATACCATAAGTTTTATTATTATTATTATTATTATTTGATAAAAAGTTCTATTGGGTTGACGTCTGGGAACTTACCAGAGCTGACAAACTTTACAGCTCAAAATGTTTACAGATATACTTGCAAATTTTATACTAACATTATTTTTCCACGTTGGTAGAAGACTCACCTTTTCCCTTGTTGGGTATTGGATTTGATGTTACCAATTAGATAAACTTTTGTTAATAATATTATATATGCTTAGGAAACTAATTGTCAATAGTTCCTCATGATGGAATAAGGAAGTAAATTTTTAAAAGAGAAAATAATATTATTGGTAAAGATGCAGACAGCTTGTATCAGCAAACCTGAACTTACTGAAGATAGACCCCAAAAATCTCTCGTGTAATAATTCATTTAAAGGGTCAATGAAATAGAGGCTTCAAGGCAATATCGACTGTCACGATCTGGCCTGGTAATGTTTCTCTAGTACTTTTAGTTTCTGTTAACTGGAAAAGTGTTGGTACAACCTATCTTTTTTTGCTCAGAGAGAGCATCGATGTGTCTGGGTTTCTCAATAAAGATAAGACATTAGATTTCCATTATACGTAACACAAGGAATATTTGAGCCTACACCAGCATCAGAAATGAACCAGACAGACCTGTGTCCAAGTATATTTGTTCTAAAACCACTAGATCTGCATAACTGTCCACCTGAAATCAACTGGCATGTGGTTTGCTTTTTATATGCTAGTCTTTTTATCATGTTGATCAGTTTATTTTGTTGCAGCAATAATGGTATCTGCTTGTAATGGTAGTAGTGGTCTGTATATTTTGCTAACTTCATGGCTTCCACTTGTTCTCGCAATTGCAGAAGAGGGGAATTTCATTCAATAATTGTGGGACCAAGAGAAAAAGAGATAGTACTGATCATTTCTTTGATTCTTCTTCTCCAAAGATGGAATTTAATATTTGCTCTGGTCTACCCGATAAGCATGTTTCAAAGCCGGTAACGTGTAAGAAGGCCAAGGTGGACAAAACTAATCCAGCAGCTGTCAACGGCTCTTCCATGGAACTCTCTGATTCCAATCATGCAATTCCAGGTTTGCGCGGTTGATCTTTTCTGTATTTTTCCCTCGTGTTTTAAGCCGTCGAAACTGTGTTTGATTCCTTGCATTTCTATATCATGGATAAGAAGAGCTTGTTCTTTTAACAACTAAGTCAACGTCTATGTGGATTCATACAGTTATTGCATCAATCAACATGAAGAAGGGAGGACCCAGGACCACCCTATTTGAGCTATGCAAGAGACTACAATGGCCAATGCCTACATTTCTCTCAACGGAACACAAACAGGGGTGAGTTGACTAATAATCATTCCAGTACATTGCATAAATGTGGAAAAATAATGACTTTTGGTCCTTAAATATTTTTTGAATTATTGATTTAATAATTGAATTTTGTCATAGAACAACTCAATCTTTATAGTTTTTGACTTATAACAAATTAGTTCTTATATATATATATTAGCGCCGATAATTTGAGTCAAGTTCGATAGGCTAGCTTGAAAATTTTAGGCTTGAGAAAATTTGGGCCAAGCTTGATTAGGTTTGGGCTTAGCCAGAATAACCGAATAATTTTTTTTTAAATATATAAAATATAATAAATATTAATTAATTTTTTAAGTTTTATGTCATTTTATGCTAAAATACTATATATTTAACTGCAGAACTATAGTTATTTTTTAAAAGAAAATTAAAAATATTTATATTTTCATATTTTTATTATTTTTAATCAATACAACATCTCAAAATAATATTTAAAATCTATTTTAATATTGATTTTTATATTTTAAGACCCAATTTTTTTTTAGAAAAAGTTGAGTCCTATACATTATAAAAAAATATTTTTAAAGTAAAAATAAAATTAAAAATATTTTTAAAAATAAAATTTGGGTATGTACCAATTCCCGGCTCTACTATTAGATAAACATAATAAATAGAATAATATGTTTAGATAATTATTTGATTATCATCTATGCCAGACTTAGTTAAAAGTTAAGAATAAATTAGAGTAAATATTCCATATATATAGGGGTTAAATAATATAAAAAGTTTAAGAAAAAATAATTTCAAAAAAATAGTATTTTATTTATAATTAAATGATTTTTTTATAATGTAACCACAGTTATTTTTTTCATTCTTAAAAAGGAAAAGTATATTTACCCAAAATTTATTAAAAATTTTAAACTAATTGGGACAATGATTTTAAGTTAGTGGTCTAACCTAAATTGAATTAAAATCAACTTAATCATATTTAAAATAATATAATATAATTAAAATATATAAAATATTTATATATGATCATGAGGAGCAATATTTAAATCACTAAGACATTAATTTATAAGTAAAGAAACATTCATGAATAAATTACACATAATATAATATAGCGGTAATAAAGTTACTTAAGTACAAAGATGATAAGTTGTTACTTTAAAATAATATTTTATACTTAACAGAATTATTAAATTAAAATTGGTGCAAAAAACAAAGAAAAAATATTTTAAAAAGTTATGAATATTTGGGCTGGCTTATTGGTCGGGTTAAGCTATTTGGATTTTTCAGAAAGTGTAGGATACTTTAAGCAAGTCTAGCATGTCTGAATTGCTGGCTCTAATATATGTATGTATGTGTGTATGTGTATATATATTTTACTTGGAACAATTTGATCCGTATAATTCCTGAACATGAAAAGCTATACCGATTGAGTTGTTTGGAGTCAATTCACGGATTTAATTGATAATGGGAAGTTTAGATATTTTTTCCATAAATATAAAAAAATAAATATTGGGGTAAAGCAGAATTTTGAAGGAATGAAGAGGACATCTTGTTCAGTTTTGGTAATTTTAATCATAACTTCGGCTTCTTTTTCTTGTTTGACAGTACTCCATTTGAATTTGGCAAAGGTTCAGAACGAAGAAAAGGGTATATCTGTTTTGTGTCAAGCATACAACTGTGCATACCCAATTATGGTAATATCGATTGTGAAGGAGATTCTAGAGCGGATAAGAAGAGTTCACTTGACTCTGCTGCATTGGAAATGCTCTATGAGCTACAGCGACTGGGAAAACTCAAGATTGGTGATTTCTAACTTTGGCCACATAGAGGAATCATGAGTTTGATTGGTCGTCCTATATATTATAGCTACAGCGCTTGTTAAAATATGTTAATATTGTGTTTATTCGGGTAGTTGTTATTAGTTGGTAGTTAGGGACTAAGCATTTATTATTCTCTGGTAGTATTCTTGTATAAATACCCTTGTAAAGCTTGAGAATTGTGAATTTAGAGGGATTTGAAATGTAGTCAGTGTAGAAGACTGATCTACATTCTATTATATTTATAGAGAATGTACAAGACAAAGCAATAAATGAGAGTTAATTACATCATTATCATCTAACAACAAATCTAATCAGCCCTAGAAGTATCAAATAAATAAAAAGAATAAGTCTAATTCTAAACACTCTTCCTCAAGTTGGTGTGTATAGGTCATATGCACCAAGCTTATTACAAATGTACTTTATTTAAGGTCCTTGGAGAGCTTTGTTTAATTTGTCTGCTAGTTGATCATTGAAGCTAACATATTTTATAGTAAGACATCCTAATTGAATCTTTTCTCACTAACCGTGGTATCTAGAGCTAGGCTTTTCCTCAATGAATGATTTTCATTCAAGAAGTACACGGTTGTTAAAACAAGATTAAATGGATAATCAAGTCATGGAAGAACGACTTCAAAAGATTGAGCAACTTGCTAAATTACATGACATTGACACGCTCAGCGATCAAGTTATAGGTGTAAAGTCCTACTAAGGTAACTTGGATTTCACTTACACTCACCACAATGCACCCCATTAAGTAATCATAAATATAAAATAGTTGTTTAAAAATACAGGATCTTGATGTAGAATTGAAAATTCAATACAAGGGCATTGTGCACTGCGGCATATATCACATGTGCTACGGCAGATGATATAGAGTCATAAGTCTCTGCTATCAGATTTGGCTGTCATGGTAGCAATCAGACATGAACTTTTGCCGCGTGCCATTTTCACATATGGTTTCTAATTGAAGTGATTTAAGCGCCCATGTGAAGCTTGTAAGATAAGCTAACTAATGAGACAAGTTTGGACACAATCCGATGGTCTTATTTCAATTTGGACATCCAAGTGAAAAAGTTACTTTTTCTTTAGCAACCAAGCACCCTAAGTGTTCAAATTCAACATCTTGCCTCACTAGACTACTTTAAGCTTTGAACCAAGTTCAAAGGGACTAAACACACCTAATTAACACATATAATCACATATTACACATCATATACTTAATATGACCTCCCAATGTCACTTTTCACTGAGGCAAAATTTCAACATGCGTCATTTCCACATATGATGTTCGATCTGAGTGATTCAAGCACTCACATGAAGCTTATTTCATAAGCTAGCTAATGAGATAAGTTTGGACATAATCTAACTATCCAATCTAAATTTGGACACTCAGGTGAAAAAAGTCACTTTTTCTAAAAAGTTCAAGCACCAAAGTGTTCAAATGGCACACTTTCTTTCATTAAGCCGTTTTAGGCTGAGAACCAACTTCAAAAGGGCCCAACACACCTAATTGAATAACAATCACAATATATATACACATAAATCAAGATTTCGCTATTCATTCGCCCCTTGTCTCAGTAAAAATTGTTTTTGCAACTGAGCACAACAATATGTTCTTGGCCATTCTATCCATAATTTCAACACAAGTTCACCATAAAATTACCTCATACACTTTCAGAACACAATTTCAATCAAATCTTAGCCCATATCACATGATTCACTGCATGTATCACATTATCACACACATTGGACTAAGATTCTCAAAATTATAGTTTATCACGATTTCAACCATGCACATGATTGCTGTGGCAACTCATTTACAAATGCACTGTAGATTAAGTTCATTACACAAACTCTAAGATCTCATGACAATAGTTCTACTATGCCTATACAATGTCCTTCCCTATTCTTGGCTCACTACTTTGACATATAAAAGTGTAACCATGGGGTGAGATAATAATCTCAGTAATAGAATAACTCGCTACTACTAACTATTATAGGTAACTATAAGTAAGTATTGCATATATATACATTCGAACATAGCATATAACATAGTTTCACATCACAAAAACATTTTCAACCACTATAAGCATGATCAACTACCATTCAAACTTTTGTATCACCCCAACTAAAACCATAGGCTCTTAATAGGCCAATACATGCTCATTGACTTAAGCACATCCTTAGTGCTAGATTCTAGTGTGCGACACACGAATTACGAGGGAGGAACTTGAATAAGGTTGAAGTTACACGGGTAACCCTTTCTCACGAACAGAAGGGTTGAGGTAACCATATAGTTTATTATGTTTATTAATTATTATAACTATGCAAAAGTGAATGTCCAATGTCAAATTGCGAATTTATGAGTTTTAGCATGAACTTTGCATTGTGAAATGAATTTGAAAAGTTATTGATTTTCATGAAGTATATATATATATATATGTTGTGGAAAGGTGTATAAGTAGTGGAAGTTGTGAAAGAGCATGATCATAGGGGGTGGGAGTTCACCCAGGATATGTGGGGTTGTGTATGTGTGGAGATTTATGAGTGAAAAATCCATATGGTCAGGCTGGCACCATGGGACATTCGGTACAGCATTTTATAGGTTGTTACCTTGGGTAATCTGGTACAGCATCTTATGGGATGGTTACCATAAGACATCTAGGCAGTCTAGCAACTCTCTAGTGCCCGTTAGTGTGCGGTTAGGAGTTAATGACACCTCTATCACAAGTGTGTGAAGAGGGAAACCATAGTCTATAGGTGGGTTAGATTACCTTTGGTCGGGTGTTTCTACCATCGAAAGTGAGCTCAGGTCAATGAGTGGTTGATCTAGAAGAGCCTATGGTTTCACGTCAAGGAGCTTTGGAGGATTGGTGGATAGTGGATCATGCTGTAGTGTAAAAGTATTTGAAATGTGATTTATAAGTGAAAAAGATAATTTAGTATTGATATGTGATGTATATGTGTCGCGCGCGCGCATGCGTGCGCAATATAATATTTTCAGTTACTTTGGCATAGTTATTTGTGGTAATAGACATTTAATGAGCTATATTTGGTTACTGAGATTTTTATTGGTTATTACATCTTTCAGGTTCTGGTACTAGTAGGTGAAAGGGAAAGGATATAGGCTGAGCTGACATCTCCTGCCTAGATCTTTATAAGATATGGTGTAATGATTTGTGAATTTTACGTTAAAAGTATGTATAAGTTGCCATAGGATTTGTACATGTGCATTAGTTATGATTATGGTATGCTTTTGTGATTTTGAACTCCCTAACCTTATATATGTGTAATGAGGAAATGACTGAAAAGGCTAGTAGATGGATGTAATTATGTGTGTATATGGAATGGGTGAAGATTAAATAGAGTGATTTGGCCATATATGGGACAAGAAAAGTGAAAATGTGGTTTTGGCTCAAGGTGTGACATGGGCAGATTATAGGCCAAATTTGGATATGTGTGTTATATTATGCATGTGTGTGGTCAATTAGGTGTATTTTGTCCATTTGGACTTGGTCAAGGCTCAAAAAGTGGCTAATGACAATTGGTTTCGAATTGAGACACTTAAGTGGCAAAACTTTGACAAAAAATGGTCAAACTGCACTTTAGTGTCCAATTTTTGATAGAAATATATGATTGGGATGAAACCAGTGTCATTAGTTAGATTTCAAAATAAGCTTCGTGTGGACGCTTGAACTATCCCAATCGAACTTCGTATGTAGAAATGGCACGTATTTGAATTTCATAGCAGAAATTGCCATTTGATAGCAAATTTAGGTGTGTGCGTCATGGCACATGTACTTAAATGTTACGGCTCATGGTAGAGAGCAGGTGATTGTGGCCTTTATGCCACATGCGCAACATGTGGCACAAGCTGTGACGCACGGTGCAAATTTTCACTTTATTTTTAAGTGATGCACATGTTTTCTTGACTTTTGATGCACCAATTCTTTATGCTTCCGCTATATATGTAATTGTATATGGAGTTGAACAACCCAAATGATTATAAAATATTTTCTAGAAATCTTTTATTGGGATCACAATGTTTTCAACAATTTTAACTCAAAGATTAGAAGTAATTAGTGATTTTGTAGTGGAGCATATGGTAATGTCAGTGAGGGCTTTACAAATTATTGGTATTAGTTTTTTCGGTGTCTTGATCCAATTTTGCTTTGTTTCTGCATTCATTCTAGTTTCTGGCAACTTATATATTATTCATTACACTATTCTTTCCCTTTTTCTTAACTTTTCTGCTACTTTCATCCTTAGGAGGGGAGAAAATGAGAAGAAGAGGTACTCAAGCTACTCGTTGCACCCGAGTATCTAGGCATCTGGTTGAGGATGAACTTGTGCTTGAGGTTCAACCGGATGTGCCTTAACAAGCTGATACAAGAGATGGCTTGTTAGAAGAATTAAGGAATATGATGATTGATATCCGACATACAGTTAGAGAGCATGATGTGTTATTGCAGGGTAGAGATCAAGAAGAGGAAAGAGAAGCTCAAGAAAGGCCAATACCAGAAGAAGTTCATAGCAGACTTGAGCCACCTCAAACTTTGAATTGTAGACAGAGTGTGGGAGTTGCTACAGATCTGACTATCGACGAAGCTTGAAAGACATGTGAGGTTCAATCCACCTACTTTTGATGGCAGTATGAGAGAAGGAGAAGCCGAGTAGTGGATTGAGCGTCTTGAAACAATATTTGAGGTGGTGACTTGTACTTTAGAGTAGAAAGTGACCTTAGCTACAGTCCAACTGGTTAGGGCAGCCAAGAGATGGTGGGATTCAGTAAGGCTGACTGGTGGTGTAAGGTATTCTTGAGAAGAATTCAAGAAGATATTCTTTGACTATTATTTCCCAGCATCTTTTTGTACTGAGAAAGAGGAAGAGTTCTATGCGTTCAGGCAGGGAGACTTGGATGAAGAGGAATTCATAAAGAAATTCAATGATTTATCAGCCTATTCTACCTATTTATAGCATCATAATAACACCAGGTGGAAGGCAAAATGATTTCTAGAGAAGATGCGTCTAGAGCATAAGAAGAAAATTGCTCTATTTGACATCACTATGTATGAGGATATGTGTCATAAGTTAGGAATAGCTGTGAAGAGAGCCAGAGAAGTAGAGGTTAAGAAGAAGAAGGATAGTGTGGGAAGATTTACACCTTCTTTGGGTTCGTTGGGCAGTGTATTGAAGAAGCCAATGTATAGCTCAAGCAGTTATGGAGCTTATGGGAAGAGGAGCTTTAGTATAATTCTCATACTATATCAGTTTAGAGAAGATCTATA